CCCAAGGTCTTACATGTCCCACAGGCACAGCGGGTCCCACAGGTCCCTCTGGACCCACAGGTCCAACAGGTTTCACAGGTCCCAGAGGTTCTCACGGGCCACGCAGGTCCCACGGGTCCCACAGGTCCGACGGGCCCCACCAGTCACACAAGTCCCACGGGTCTCGCAAGTCTTACAGGCCGCACAGGTCCCACAGGTCCCGCAGGTCCCACAGGCTCCACAGGCCCCACAGGTCTCACAGGTTTCTCATGTCCTACAGGCCCCACAGGTTCCGCATTTCCTATTGACCCCACAAACCCCACAGATCTCGCAGGTCTCTTTGGTCCCGCAGGTCCCAGAAGTCGAGGTCCCACAGGTCCCACAGCTCCAGCAGGGCTCGACCCAGGAGGGTTCGCGGGTCTCGTAAGTTCCGTAAGCCCCGCAGGTCCCACAGGTCCCGCAGGTCCCGCATGACAGCTCCATCTGGTCTTTCAGGCTTCGATCGTCCCACATGTCTTACAGGTTCCACAGGTCTCTCACGACACCTTTTGCTGCTTTCAGGGCGCATTGCCAGGGTAAGTTTTGAAGTACTGGCGCACGTAATTGCTTGAGCTGCGCGCAGCGCCGAATGGGCCACGAGCGCAAGTGGGAAACGCTGCCCCGCAAATGCGGAATTCCGCCCGTCCTGGAAATGGCCGGCAGGACATGCAAGCATGCATCCTGCCATGTGGCACAGCGCAAAAGCAGCGCGCATCCCGAAGAACAATCACGAGCTCGACTGCGACGGGGGGCGACTTATGATGGTAATGTGCTGTCTGGGGCGGGCTTTCCACGCGGTTGCACTTGCGCGAAAGTGCCCGCGATTGGAACCTCCCAACTGGCTTCACGGGGGTCTCGGGAGAAGGAGGGGGGAGACGGCCATGGGAATTCAGCCCGTTGGCTCATGCCGCATGCGGGCTGCAGGTACCGCGCGCGTGCTACGGTGTCATGATGCTACGAAAGCACACTACGCGATCAAGCGCGAGCTACTACTGGATAACGCGCGCTTTCTGTTGCGCACCAGTAGATGGGCAGTTCGTCGTGAACAGGATTCAGCACGGCGCATTCCTCCTAGATGACGAGAGCGGGTCTTACTGGCAGCAGGCGAAGTCGGGCTTTTTCCCTTGACGACACGGGCGCCGCCCAATTTTTTGCAAGAGCTACTCTGGCCCCGTCATTGAGAAAGGTGCAGATTGCGCAGTTATCCGAGGCCGGTGCCCTTTCGAGGCAGCAAGGCCACGGCGTCCCGACTATCCCGAGCTGTTTGCCATCGCGGGCTACGTGGGCGATTTTGCCAGCGAGGTTCTGGGGGGCGGGGGGGGGGCATGGGGGGGGCGATCGCGAGGGGGGGCGAGGAGGAGAACAAGTCAATAGACGAGGGGCTGGGCATCGTTCCAGGGATCGCGGGAACCGCAGAGCATCACGTGCGATGCCTGGGAGGCCTACAGTCGGACGCGTCCGCGCCAGGGCCCGAGCTTCAAAACCGACTGGCCGCGGTCGAGGCCTCGCGCTATTCCATGGGCGCTGCCGGTTCAGCCAATCCCCCTTCTCCATCGAGCGCGCCGCGACCAAGGGTCTTCTGATCAACGCTGCCCTCTCTGGGCTCGAGGTTGCAGTGCGCGGCGCTGGGCCGCTTAGAGCTGCAGACCTCCGTCGCTCTCAGAGTGTTATATTGAAGAAGTGTCGCGCGATGCTTCATGGCGCGGCATGATGGGGGGGGGGGGGGGGGGGGGGGCGGGCCGCATGAGGGCGATCGCGCGTGAGGAGGTCATGGGGAAGCGCACGTTTCCCCCCCTGTTTCTGGAGCTCAGAATACGACGGATCAAATGGTTACAGAAGATGGTAAAGAGGAGGCAGGGCCCCTCACAGTTTTTAGCGACAGTTTTTGGCCGGGTCAGATTCTACGGGCCCGCGTTTGAAGAGGGGCGAATTTCAGGGCAGGCCAATCCTTGGGCCCGACAAGCCACGCGCTCATGGCCGCGGAGTCGGGCGCCAGCCTACGCGAGCACCAGAGTGCGTTTGATTGTTTGTTCGCGGGTTGCAGCGAGTTCGTGGGGCTCGACGTGGGCGAGCTCCGCGCCAGGTTTCTCCTTTTCGCAGGCTCCGCCTCGGAGGCGGCCCAGGCTGGCGCAGGCGGAGGCGAGTGCAGATGCAGCGATCGGACGGCAGATGGCAAGGTGTGCGGCACAGCATGGCCAACGGCAAAAACAGTTGCACGCGCATATATCTTCAACGGTGGGGGGCTCGCGCGGAAAATCGCACATCGGCGAAGTGTTCGGGGCGACGAACGATTGCGCGATATGCTAGAGCACGTTCAGAGGCAAGGAAATTTCAAGGCAACACATTGCAGCGAACATGGTTCGAGGGCATTGCCCGAAGTCCACGGCCCGATTCGCGAGCTCAGTGGAGGACCCCGAATGTTCCAGATGCCCCCCTGTGCTTGGGCGCGCTTGGGACCGTGGCCGGTTTCCTCGTGCATTGT